TCTCTCTCTCTCAAAATCCGCACTTGTTAAAAAATATATAAATATAAACCAAAGTTCCAAAGGCACCACGTGTCACCATCAAAATAAATTAAAAAAAATCTCTCAAAAACAACGCACAGAACTATATTCGAAGTTTCAGAAAGTCCGTCACGAACCGCCAGCCAACTTCACTCCGACACTACGAGGTTCATCGAGGTATCGGCAAAGCGGGTCATCCGAACACACACACAGGTGTCTCCAGGTAATGAGCTGATCCGAACATTTTCGCCTCTGAGTAATGGCGTCCGCAGCTGTGTGTGTACGCGCGCGTGTGTGTGTGTGTTCGAGGAGGGAGGAGGGGGGTAGAGAGAGAGGGGGGGAGAAGGAGGGGAGGAGGAGGATGGGGATAGAGAGAGGGGAGAAGGGAGGAGGGAGATAGGGAAGGAGGAGGAGGGGGGGATAGAGAGAGGGGAGGAGAGGGAGGAAGGGGTAGAGTGAGGGAGGGAGTGGGGAGAGGGAGGAAGGGGGAATGGATAGGGAGAGGAGAAGAAAAGGGGAGGGAGGGAAAGAAAGAAAAAAAGAGGGAGAAGATGGAAAGATGGGGAAATGGGGAATGAGAAGAAGGAATAAGAAAAGGGGCGAGGAAAAAAACAGAAAGAGCGTTTAGTGCATTTAATCTCAGAAAAGAAGTAACTGGCAACTTTCGAACAATTCGATTCATGATAAATAAAAAATGATAATAACAATGTTTTTTTTTATAGTTTAAAAATTCTTTTTTTTTTTCATTTTATTAAAATTTGTTGTCTTTAACACCACTGCATTATCTTTTTCACTTAAAGTTGATGGATAAGATTATTCCAGAATGTAGGATGAGTTGCCGGATAATATTTCCTGATATTTTACGAAGCATAATAACTAAAACTATATTGTGTATTGTATATGAATTAAATTTTTTTTGTCATGTTTTATATAGTTCTAACCACAAAAAAATGTTCTTTGTTCATACTATATCTACTGGACTTTGGTGATTAAAAGGAGAGATTGTATTACCATCAAAGTCACTCTTTTTAACTCTTGTTCTTGTTTCCGAGTAAATAAAAATATATGATCACCGTGTTTGACATATGAGATAATGTATTAAACCAGTAATAAAACTAGAAATACTTGTGCAGTGACTATGGGAACAATCTGTTAGGCTGGAGATAGCTTGACTAACTATTCCTTAATCATAGGTGTGAGTTTCTGGGGTGGGCGGGGGTGGGGGGGTTATGGTATGTATGTGTAACATAAATACAAATATATCTATAAGGAGGAATAGATGTAGATGCATACCATATGTGTGCGTAAGGACATTATATATATATATATATATATATATATATATATATATATATATATATATATATGTGTGTGTGTGTGTGTGTGTGGTGTGTGTGTGTGTGTGTGTGTGTGTGTGTATTGTAACATAAATACAAATATATCTATAAGGATGGATAGATGTAGATATATACCATATGTGTTCGTAAGGGCATGTCTATATATATATATATATATATATATATATATATATATATATATATACAGTGATATTAGATTTATTACATGACTTAACAAACTATCGTTTATCTGTGTGTGTGTGTCCGTGATTCTGATATCTATCCAGTTACCGCTATCTTAATGGAATTCCCTTCGCTACAGACTGACCTAATCCCATTAAAAAAATCGATAGCTATATGAATTCCCGTTAAATTGATTTACATTATTCATTGGAATTTAGGCTCTAATGCAAGCCTCGCGTTAAAGTAGGTCAGTCAGTCTTTCGGTGATTAGAGATAGTTACCAGTGAGTCTCTACAGCTTAATGGGCACTTTAGCCTTGAATAAAAGATCGATCTGTCAGATGTTGGCCTGGCTGAGGAATCTGGACTGAAAGAGAGATAGGGAGGAGAGGGGGAAGAGAGAGAGAGATGTAGAGAGGAGAGAGAGAGAGATGGAGAGAGGAGAGAGAGAGAAAAAGGAAAAAGAGGGAGGAAGAGAGGGAGAGAGTAAATCGTTCTTCTCCATTACAATTAAAGGGGGAAAATCGAGAATACGAGAGAGAAAGAAAGAAAATGAGAGAATAAGAGGGAGGAAATGAGAAAGAAAAGGAGAGATAGACAGAGAAAAGAGAGGATACGAGAAAGAAATAAAGAAAAGAGAGGAAGAAAGAAAGAGAGAGAGATAGACTTCAATGAGTCACCGCTTCTGCAGCTGCAAAGGAGAAATAAGCACATGTTTCAGTGCAAGAGGAACTTAATCAGGAAATCTTATGACTTAAGTACTTTCAAGACATTTAATTTTTTCCTTCAGCTTAAAAGAAATTATATCTTACTGCTTACCAATATGTGTTAACTTAGAAGTTCATATAAACTTACATGTTAACTTAGAAGATATTTACCGAGATGGCACTACCCATTCATAGTCAATTATTTTGATTTTCATAATGACTCACATCGCAGAATTTTAGAACGAAAAATTGAAGA